GCCTTGCTCGCAAGTGGTCCATGGTCGGATGGTGCTCAGGTGTCATCTCCGGACTTGTCGCTGCTACTCCCGCTTCCGGTTTCTTGCCTCCATGGGCCAGCGTCATCCTCGGTATTACCACCGGTATTGTTGCTAACTTTGCCACCAAGAGTATGTGCCTTGTCAAAACCTTTCCGCGAACAGCTCACTAACGTCTCTCTAGTCAAGTTCTGGATCAAGATCGACGATTCTCTCGATGTCTTCGCTGAGCACGGCGTCGCTGGAATGTGGGGTCTTTTCTTCAACGGAATCTTCGGTGCCGACTACATCATCGGACTCGACGGAGTCAACAACGGTCTTACCGCTGGTGCCATCACCGGCGAGCCCGCCGCGATCTACAAGCAAATCGCCTACATCGTCGCCGTAACCGCCTACTCCTTCGTCGTCAGCGCCATCCTCGCCTTCGTCATCGACAAGATCCCCGGCCTCAAACTGCGCGCATCTGAAGAGGCCGAGCTCCTCGGTATGGACGACGACCAGCTCGGCGAATTCGCCTACGACTACGTCGAGGTCCGCCGTGACTACCTCGCATGGACTCCAGCTAAGGGCGAGCCCATCGATGGCGAGCACTCGGTACCCCAAGGCGAGCGCCACGGCATCCCCCAGCACAGCCAGATGCTCGAGGGCAAGGCACCATCGGAACACAGCTCAGGCCACGAGCACACGGGCATTGCGGGCGACAGGCACGCGATGGCCATGGGCTCCGAGCACGAGAAGCAGGTTCAAACCTAAGGCTGCTTTTCTCTTTGCCTGCCTGCGCATTGCTGATTTGGATTTGTTGCTTGCGACTTTTTTGAGTCAATTACCCGTTTCGAGATACCACCTTGCGCTGCTCCTCCCCGCGGTCTTTGAGCTGTGCTTTTTGACATATACATTTAGATGATTGTATTAAAGTTTTTTCTTTTCCTAGACCTCACGTATTGTACATAATTCGAGAATGGATACATCAAACATCATTATCCCTCCCATCTGGCAATTTCCACATGTGCATTCCAAATCATCCATACTCACCTAACCCTACATCAACACATTCCATATCACCGAAACGCGCCCAGCCTTTTCTTATCATGCTAAGCACGATCGACTCCCCCCATTCGACGAATAAAACCGACTACACAACGACGCCAAGCCTACTCTCCTCACTTCCTTATCTTTTCCCGCTCCTCCAGAGTGTGAACCCCAGATTTGCGCAAGCAAGATGATGTCAGTCCACTGACGCTACTACCGAAGCTACCACTGAAGTGAGCTTGACGTCTGCACGATGCAGACACCTCACCCGTAGGAAGCGCTGATGTGTATCTGTGTATCTATACCGCGCATTGTGATGGCGATGTGCTGAGATGCGGTGGGGATAGCTTATCTCAACTCCTGGCGGCGTATGAGAGAGGAGTGTTGGCTATGCGCTACGTTTATCATCTACATTCTCGGTTTGACTGGTCGTAGCTATTCCATGCCAAGTCTATTGGGTTTTAACCATTTGGATCCAGTGGTGAGTGGTCTCGATCGCGAACAAGAGTGTTGGGATGGAAAGCGGGAACTACCATACCTCGCCGATCTGGCAAACGCGCTGGCTGCTGGCGCCGTTGGAGGACCTTATCTCTGGGTGTGCGCGTGGGCATGGGTGTACCGGTGAGGCGGGTGCGTGTGGGGGAGGCTGTGCAGTGGACAACTACCACTACTACTACTCACGTGCAAAGCTTCGATCAATAGTCGGAGGTTGACAGTTGATCTCGCATCGTGATGGTGTGTGACGGAATTAGATATGAGGTGTGACATCATTGGATGGGGGTTAAGGAGATGGAACACGCTAAGAAATGATGGCACGCAAGCACACGTGAACAAAGCGAAGAAGTGTTCGTGATCGAGACGCCAGATGTTAGAGGCGAATAGGTAGGACAAAGGATTCGGCTCGGAATCTTGCACAAGGCCACTCCCGCGTAGGGCTGAGCTGCGATGACAAAGGTCGCTGTTGAACGCAGCTTGTGTTAACGCTCGTAACAACGCCTCGTGGAGAATGCTCAAAGAAGTAGTGCAGCTCAGGAGGCGATGGAGGCTGATGTTGGGGATGTCTGTAGAAAGGGTAAGTTTTTGTTGACGGTGAGATTGCAAAGTCGAGTTGTACGGATTGCAACCAACTCTCCCTTTTGGTGCACAAAATTGAACCAAGAGCTTCAGAATGCCAGGAAGAAAAGCAAAAGACTCTCTCCAAATCTTCGCAACACCCTTTAAATCCTCATTCCTCTCCATCCCACCCTCTCCATTCTCACCACGAACGCCCCTCACACCTCCCCTTCCCTTCCGCCAGCAAGCCCACAGACCAACTCCCCAAACCACGCCCGGCTATCCACCACCCCAAGATGACGCACCCTCGAGTCCTTTACCATGGATGTGGAAATGCCACCAATGCCACCACACCTACCGTCTCGGCGTAACGCGCCGCCGTCTCGAAGACGGGCACCATTTCTGCAGCGGCAGCACGACTATTAAGTCCTGGCGGAAATCAAGTAATAAAAGGAAACAACGGAACCATCGTGCTTGTCCGAGCGAGTTTGACTACGAAGGTTGGAAGACGATTGGGCGGTGGCGGAGGGGTGGGCCGAAATGCAGTGGCAGGGCTGGAGTGCAAGGCAAGCAAGACTGCTGGAATAAAGTGGCAGTGGCAGAGAAGCAGCAAGACTGCTGGAACACATGCGATTACCCCTCCGAATGCCGCTGGGGCAAAAAGTTCGGCATACACACACCCGTCGACTCTGTTTTCCCCTCTGTCTTCCCCAGTAACGAAAGTAACAACGGCAACAACAATATGCCTACACTAACTGCTCCTATTAACACGTTGCCTGAGGGTACCGTCAAACTGGGAACTCCAATTAGTCCGGTCACATCGAGAAAGGTTGTCAAGACGAATCTTTGGACTGCGTTAAGAGCTAGTGCGGAGCGGAGGAAGGGTGCTGGGGAAAGGGGGGGAAGTCCGCTTTCGAGGAGAGGGGAAACAGGGGAGAGGGGGGAGGGAGAAGGAGAAGGGGGTGGGGAAGGGGATGTGGAATCGTTGGCAGCGATGAGAGATGGTGATGGCGATGTTGTTATGGGGAGTGGGGATCCTGCGATTCTGGATGATGCGAGTAGTTCGCCCTCATCTTCGTCGTCGCAAGCCGAATCCTCGTCTTCCTCGTCGTCAGCGGTGGACTCGCTGAAGGCGTTGGTGAGCAGAAGGCGGTATCGACGCGTAAAGTCGAGGTCTAGAATGAATGGCTCGGTGGATAAGAGATATGCTGAGACGGGGTATGTGGTCATGGGGAATGTGGAGGAGAGGATGGAGGATCAGGTTAGGTTGGATGAGGAGGATATGATGGTGGAGGGGTTTGCGCCGTTGTGTCGGGTGGGGAGTAGGGGGTGTTCTGTGTGAGATGGGGGTTTGCTGATTAGTCGGCCTTCTTTAATTCATAATTACATTACAATTGCTCAAAGGTTGTAGATGCAGAACCCGAATGTGACGATTCCCTGCGGCTAAAAGTGGCACTTCCGTCCCAGGCCCGCCAGCGCCCACGTTCCTGCAGGGATGCGCCTGTGCCTGACCCTTGACGCTCGGGCCATGGGCCTTCACGGAAGTCGCGCCCTGAACGCCGCCGCTGCGCCGTCATTGTTGCACCTTCACTTCTCCCACAGCGCGCCGAGCCTGATATACCGAGGCATCATTGCGAAGATGGTGCTCTCGTTCATCCTCATTCAGAACAGGCAGTAAGTTGGGATGTTGGTGCAGAGGAGGGTTGGGGAGGTCATGTAGCATGGAGGCTGATCGATGGTAGAGGGAAGACAAGATTGGCGAAGTGGTATGCGCCGTACAGTGTGAGTTGAGATGTCAAGTATATTAAGAGACGATATAGTAGCTAATTATAAAACAGGATGAAGAGAAAGTCAAGTTAAAGGGCGAGGTATGCGATACCCTCCTTCCCTCCCACCCATCCAACACGCCTCCTCAAGCCGCCCTCGAACCCTTCGCATAGCGAGTCCCGAAATGAGACTAAGAACGAATTCAGGTCCACCGCCTCATCGCCCCGCGCGACCAAAAACACCAGTCCAACTTCGTCGAATTCCGCAACATGTCTAAGATCGTGTACCGCCGCTACGCCGGCCTCTTCTTCTGCGCCTGCGTCGACACAAACGACAACGAACTCGCCTATCTGGAAGCCATACACTTCTTCGTCGAGGTGCTAGATGCCTTCTTCGGGAACGTGTGTGAGCTGGATCTGGTGTTCAATTTCTACAAGGTGTATGCGATACTGGACGAAGTGTTTTTGGCGGGTGAGATTGAGGAGACGAGTAAACAGGTTGTGCTGACGAGATTGGCGCATTTGGATAAACTGGAGTAGATGGATGATGGGCGGGTGTACTGTATAATGGGGTGGAGCTGGGGCTGCTTCGCCTGGCGCCTCGGCTCAGATAAGAGGAACGAGGTAGTAACCATGCGCTGCAGAGGGCACATGAGGGAGTTGCGTGTATAGCCGCGCTGAGGGGTCTTGGGCGAGCATTTGAAGAGCCCACATCTCAATGGTGGACTGGTATACCTCGAGGCTGATTCGGTACCAATATTTGGCCGGAAGGAACAGCAGGGAGAATCGCTTGCATATCTTAGCGATTCCTGCAAACACACCGTTCACGCAAATCTGTCCTGCTTCTACATTCGGTGACACGCGAGTGAATGTACCCTGTCGTTCTTGCATGTGAGGGAGCGCACGGACGCGCTCTTATGATGGAAGCAGAGGTCTAGAAAATAGCCACATCATCAACCTTGGTACTTCGAGATCTGTCCCTTCGCCTGTGCCCAAATTCCCCCCAGCATGCTCGCCCCATGATATGAACATCTCTAACACCATTCCGCGCCCCGTTGTTCCTCCGCCACACGCCTGACCCGTCTCGAATCGTCCCGTCCGTCGAATCCACCGCACCATCCCCGCGCCGCGACCATGTCTGACTTCGCCGCATACCACGCCCTCGGCACGGGCTCGCCAAACCCGAACGGCAACGGCAGGCCAGACGAGCCCAACAAATGGCGTCCACCAGTCGCTGCGGGCCCTCCTGGCTACCAACAGACGGGCAGCCCGGCCATGGCCCAGCCTCCGAATCAGTACGCCGGCACACCAGCGCAATATGGCACGCCAGTCCAGCAAGAAGGTTATTTCCCTGACCAGTCGGCGCTGCAGGGCCAACCTCAGTACCAGGGCGACCAAGACGTGAACAACCTCGCGGGGCAGATGGGAGCAGTTGGGCTGGGCATGGATCAGGCGGCACAACCCAAGCACAAGAAGAAGAACAGACATGCATATCATAATATTGAAGGGCCTGGAGGAAGTTCACCGGCGTTCAACGGAGCGCCGCAGAATGGCACACCTACACAATACCAAAACTCGCCTCAAGTCGGAGGAGCGCAATGGATGGAGCCTCAGATTACTCCCGCCATGAGCCAGTTTCCCGCACCCGTAAACCCTATCTTCAGTCCTGGATCGCAGGCTTCACCTATGCAGTACGCTGCGAGAACACCAGCAGCACCACATCAGAGTGGAGGGGCGGCGGTTGGATCGGCTCAAGGACGTGTAGATCCCGAGCAGATTCCCAGCATACCGAAGTCGCGCGATGCGCCGGCGAAGTACTACCTAGAGAACGTATACCCGACTATGGAGCACCACCTACCTCCACCCGCAACGGTCCCCTTTGTAGCCTTTGACCAAGGCAACTCCTCACCTAAGTTCGCACGTTTGACCATGAACAACATTCCACTCACTGCGCAAGCCCTTGCTGCGACTTCGTTACCGCTTGGTATGGTCTTGCAGCCGCTTGCTGCTCAACAAGAAGGCGAGCAAGCTATACCCGTATTGGACTTTGGCGAGTCCGGTCCACCACGATGTGCAAGGTGTCGCGCGTACATCAATCCGTTTATGCAGTTCAAGGCTGGCGGAAACAAGGTCGTGTGCAACCTGTGTACATACCCGGGCGACGTTCCCGGCGAATACTTTGCGCCTACCGATCAGTCTGGTGTCAGAATAGACAGACTACAACGGCCGGAGCTCACTTTGGGCACTGTCGACTTCCTCGTACCCAAGGAATACTGGTCGAAAGAGCCTGTCGGTCTACGGTGGTTGTTCCTTGTCGATGTGACCGCCGAGGCTGTAAACCGTGGTTTCCTCCATGGCTTCTGTGAAGGCATCATGAAAGCGCTCTATGGCGAAGAAGCTGAGACAGAGGGCGCCGAGACTACAACTCGGATACCAAAGGGTGCTAAAGTTGGCATCGTCACATACGACAAGGAGATGCACTTTTACAACCTCAACGCCAGCTTGACGAGCGCTCAAATGCTCGTCATGTCTGACCTCGAAGATCCCTTCCTACCCTTCAGCGAAGGCTTGTTCGTCGACACCGTGGAGTGCAAGAGCGTCATCACATCACTTCTCGCACAGCTACCGACCATGTTCTCTGAAGTCAAGAATCCAGAGCCAGCGTTATTACCTTGCTTGAACTCTGCCGTGGCAGCATTGTCGGCTACAGGCGGAAAGATTGTGTGCTCTTTGGCTGCGCTGCCGACCTGGGGTCCTGGTCGGCTGATGCTACGCGAGGACAACAATGTACACAACACCGATGCTGAGAAGAAGCTTCTTCAGACTGAGCATCCTGGGTTCAAGAAGGTTGCTGAGAAGATGGTGCAGAATGGTATTGGTGTGGACTTTTTCCTTGCTGCGCCCAGTGGAGGGTACCTCGACATTGCGACCATCGGCCACGTTTCCGCTGTAACAGGTGGAGAAGTTTTCTACTACCCCAACTTCCATGCGCCAAGGGATATCCTGAAATTATCCAAGGAGATCCAGCACACAGTCACGCGAGAAACCGGATATCAAGCGCTGATGAAGGTTCGCTGCTCAAATGGCCTGCAGGTCTCTGCCTACCACGGAAATTTCTACCACCACACTTTTGGCGCCGATCTAGAGTTCGGAGTCATTGACGCCGACAAGGCTATTGGTGTCATGTTCAGCTACGATGGCAAACTGGATCCGAAGCTTGATGCTCACTTCCAGAGTGCGCTACTATACACGGCAGCCAACGGTGAGCGACGAGTGCGGTGCACGAACATCGTGGCCAGCGTCAGCCCGAACACTGGTGAATGCATGAAGTTCGTCGATCAGGATGCTGTTGTAAACATCATCGCCAAGGAAGCTGCTGCTCGCATGACAGAGAAGAACCTCAAGGAGATTAGGGGAGCCTTGACGGAGAAGACTGTCGACATTCTTGCTGGCTACAGAAAGAACTTCACTGGCAACAATCCTCCCGGACAACTCGTGCTACCAGAGAACCTGAAGGAGTTCGGCATGTACATTCTCGGACTCATCAAGTCAAGAGCCTTCAAGGGCGGCAAAGAGCCCACAGACCGAAGAGTCCACGACATGCGCATGATCAAGTCGATGGGACCACTGGAGATGTCATTATACCTCTACCCCCGCATCATCGCAATCCACAACCTCGACGCGCGCGACGGTTTCGCAAACGAAAAGGGCCATCTTGTAATGCCAGAAAACATCCGAGCCTCTTTCTCCAAAGTCGAAGAAGGCGGTGCCTACATCGTCGACAACGGCCAAGTCTGCCTCCTCTGGCTGCACACACAAGTCTCGCCCAACCTCCTCGAAGACCTCTTCGGCGAAGGCAACAACAGTCTCAAAGCGCTCGATCCCTTCCAGTCTACCCTCCCCGTCCTCGAAACCCATCTCAACGCTCAAGTCAGGAATATCCTGCAGTACCTTGAGGGTACAAGGGCGTCCAAGGCGCTTACTATTCAGCTTGCGAGACAAGGGCTGGATGGCGCGGAATACGAATTTGCGAGGTTGTTGTATGAGGATCGGAATAATGAGGCGCAGAGTTATGTGGATTGGCTTGTGCATGTGCATAGGCATATTCAGTTAGAGGTACTTGGCATCTGATGGTGTTACTTCGGAACGCGATTGCTGACTTTGAATAGCTTGCTGGACAGCGCAAGAAGGAGGACTCGGGCGATGGTGTTGGCTCGACTTTCGTGGGCCTGCGGACGCCGTACTGGGGGTAGAGTTGAGAAAAGAGCAGCGATGTTGACGAACGAAGTCTGTATTGCATAGCGATAGCGGGGAACTGGCGAAGTATTACTACTGAAAGACGAGATCCACGTATTCAATTCAACCCAACATTTCTCCCATCACGTCTTTATCCTGCGCACTTTGATGTTCCCCTCCCCGCCTAGATTTTAGTGTTGCGAGGAGGTACCGCCGCCGTGACAGGGATCACGCACGTGACCCCCACTAGCGCACCTCGCTTAGCTTTTCCGCTCAACGAGCAAAATCGCCAACGCCGGCCTTCCCTCGAACTTTCGCTCGACAACTAACCCACAGCATCACGACGCAAAGATGCCTACCCGCCTAACCAAGACCCGCAAGCACCGCGGTCACGTCTCCGCCGTATGTTGTCACGCTGGAATACTTCGTTTACTCTGCTAACTCGCTATCCAGGGTCACGGACGTGTCGGAAAGCACAGGAAGCATCCCGGTGGTCGTGGTATGGCCGGTGGTCAACATCACCACCAGACCAACATTGACAAGTACCATCCTGGTTACTTCGGAAAGGGTAAGTTATGAGTGTGTACGAAGTGCATGTGAGACATATACTGACTCCATCGCAGTCGGAATGAGGTACTTCCACAAGATGCAGAACCTCTTCTGGAAGCCCGTCATCAACCTCGACAAGCTCTGGTCGCTCATCCCCGCCGAGAAGCGCGCCGAGTACCTCGCCAACAAGTCCGGCAACGCCCCCGTCCTCAACCTCCTCGACTACGGTTACTCCAAGGTCCTCGGAAAGGGTCGTCTCCCCGCTGTCCCCATCGTCGTCCGCGCCCGCTACGTCTCCGCTGAGGCTGAGAAGAAGATCAAGGAGGCTGGTGGTGTCGTTCAGCTCGTCGCATAAGCGCCAGAACGACACGATACGATACGATCAACCATCACTCACACAACACGATTGTGCATGAAACGGCGTCTCGGAATGATACAAAAGGATACCATAACGGCAATGATTGGGATGGATTCTAAGTCCGCAGTTACCCTAACGGGTCTGCGTTTGACTTGCGTCAGCGTGGTGGCTGAGGAATGTTTCATAGACAATATGACCGTTCCTGAACAAACCTTTGGCCCTTGCTGGCTGTCCCGCTCATGCGATGCATGGGTGTGGGTTGGCATTGCTATGCCGTCGCATGGTTGCCTCCGTGATGACGTGATGTTCTGGCGCTGCATGCTGTGAGGTGAAAATTCTGTGGTACTAACTTGATGAGTCCAGTATACCGCGTACTTTTTGGCCTGACAGCCTGTCGTCCAAACAACGCATTTTGCGCTTCAAGCGCTGGCGTCGATTCAATTACATCGACCGGAAACATGCTGTCGCATCGAATATGCGCCTGCGATCGTGACCTCTGGCTATTGTGCTAACCACCAACTCATCACGATGGCGTGACCGTCATTCGGGCGTGCTCGTCAGTTTGTATCAAACAGCAATCAAACATCACTCATTCAAATTTTGAACGTCTCACTGTCTTCCGTGTCTGACACCGCTTGGCTAGAGCATTTGATGCTGCGCTACCAACACAGCATCTGCGTACATCCTCCGCAAACCAAAGTTTACCAATCGCTTCGATCTACACTTGCATCATCTTACCATCGTCAGCGCACTGCATGGGGATTGAAACGCGTTGCTGAAAACTCTGGCTAAGCTGCCGGTTTTACCCTTTGGTAATGGGAGACCTACTTCTTTGTCTCATGATATAGATTACCTCCGCTATCAGACTTTGATGAATTGGCTGACTTTGGATGTGACCGCACAGCGAAGAAGAATAGTCGATTCTACAGATAAGGGAGATGTTAGACGGTAGTGATGCGCCGCAGAAGCTAAGCCTAGTGGCTAGGTTAATAGCAAGCGTGTTAAAGGCTATAGTGCGTGTATAGTATACTTAAGAAGCAGCACCCGCAGTAGTTACCTTTTATATTTTCTCCTCTTTAACTTATACCTATGTGTAATTTCTTCTCTTAGTTACTATTTACTTTATTCTATAGTACTATAATAACGTAAAGCAAAATAAGCTACTTATAACTTCTATAACATTAACAACCTTAACAAAAAGATACTCTTACAAATAAGAGAAATCGCAAGTATAATACACTGTCTACAGATGAGGGAAAACCTGCGACCACGCCGGCGTCTCATACACGCCTTTTGGCACATTCCTAATACTCACAAAAGCTTCAACCACAATGTACGCCCGACTCACGATATAACTTGCGCCACAAAGTATACACAAAAGCGTAATGACCGCAGTACTAAGCCAGCCAAGCGACCGCTTATTGTAAGCCACCCAGATCGTGTCAATGAACGGGAAAACATAAGCTAAGAGATTGGTGACCAGCCAAAACGCCGCACAAAAGGTTACCCATACGGAACTCAATCGCCAGAAGAGCTGCTCTATCTCACTAGGAAAGAAGTAGTTCCACGCTGCAACGTGTATCGCGCCATACGCGCATGAAGCTCCCCATAGTACCATCCCCATGATCAGAGATTGGGTGCGACGGATTAGACCGTCGTTTGGCCAGTCTAGAGCGTGAGACTGTACGAGTTCGGTGACGTGGGGTATGCTGTATGTAGAACCCGATATGGCCGTTTCGCGAGCTGGGGTGAAGCGAGTCCGTAGAATTGGATACAGCAGCAAAGCTTCTTCGGCAAGACGTCTCAATTCGGAACCGGTTTCCGTCTCAGGATCCCGCTCCGAATGCTGAATGCCAGGACGAGTCCTGAGATGACCGGATGCACGAGGTTGCGCTGTACTGCTGCAACCAACAGGATCATGATCTTCAGATCTTGTCTCTTCTCCACCATAGTAAGCCAATTTCTCTAGTTCTGGCGTCCGGACCCGAAAAATCGCAAATACGCCCTGTGGCACCTTACCACTCATCCGACTCGCTAGATACATATACGCAGCCAAAGGCAGCCAATCTCCTTTGAGTAGCGTGGGAGACGTCACCTGCCTCGGTTTGTGCCACCAGAGAATATACATGATGAGCGCGCAAACGACATGAGCGACAACGTGTACCTCGAGTAAAGTAGTCGGCAGCCCAGACGCCGTCCGACTGATGACCTGGACAATCATCCACCCGGCCTGGATGCACACGAGAAGCTTGGCAAGGCCGTCTGCTTTGTTCTTGTCTTTTATGTCGTCGAGGGAAACGTATGGAATGTGTCCGCACTGCGCGAGTAATGCTACTCCTTTGGCTGTTAGGGTGAGGCGTTTAGCACCATTGAACAAGACCGCGCTGCGAGTGTCGGTATCGTCGATGTCGAGTGCGAAACCGCCCATTGTGCCGTAGAATCCGTGTGGGATAGTCCATGGAGTAGGACGGTGGTGGTTATGGTCTTCAGATATCACTGCCGTCTAGGAGCTGTCAGTTCGGGAGCCAAAGCAAGCATAGTTTGGCTATGTACTTTTTCGCGAGCTTCCGCCCCATCTTCTTTCTTCCTTTTTGCCTCTTCCATCTCCAAACACAGCTGCCGTGCAGACGCTAGTTGTCGCCAGGCTGTATACACCATCAACTCTGGTGCGAAGAGGCCCAGAATGCACCATTGAAGCTCTCTTAGTAGGACCCGGCAATTGCCTTCGGTCTTGCGCGGTACGTTCAAGTGCACAGCTGAATACACGCATAAGCCGAGTGTGGCGAAGCAGCTTATAAGCAGGGAGATGGTATCTCGTTGGTTGTCTTCTTTTACGAAGCCTACGGTATCTGTAGTGTTGACGTTGGTGGTGCTGATGCCGGAAACACTGTGGGCGGAGAGGGAGATGAAAGCAAAGCTACACAGGACTAACACCATGGTTCAAGACAACAAGCGCAGGCCAGACCGGAGAAGGTAGAGTGAAGGACCACGGGGCGCGCCGCTTATACTAAAGCCCGATGAGTGTCCATGCTGCGCCGTCCGACTGCAGGCTCGCATGATTGAGCGGCAAGTCGAATGGGGGCCGATTCAGATATGGAGTTGTGTACCGAAAACTCTCGAGAACATGGTATCCTGCATGTAGGGATGCGTATCCATAGATAGCGCAACGAATAGGAGCGGGCGGACGGTTCTCTCGATACGTACTCCCGCTGCGCCGCAAGAACCTGAGACGGGCGCGTGCCGTCCCTTCTCAAACGGCCCCCACCCTCTACCTAAGTACATACCAGATGCAGCCGCTGTCAAGCTGCTGATAGCACTCATCAGACACGCGCTAACGTGCTACTGGGCGCAATTGATTGGAGATGGAGCAGATATTCGAGCAATGTGGAACGAAAGGATCGTAGTGGTGATCAGGCGTCTTCCAAGGTTGCGTCGTATTGATCCGTGCATCGGCTTTCCTGTTCCTGCGCTAAATCACATGCACATGGGCTGTGCCGCTTGTACTTCGACTTTGCATCCCACCTCATGTTTTCACGCCCAGAGAATTACCATTTTTTAACATGAGTGTTCGTCCTCGACGACCTGCAGAACAGGTCGGTTCAACAGCGAAAAACCAGGTACGCATGCGTCTACCGCGTATGTGCATGCCAAGGCTAATAGTTGCAAGGCTGAGCCTCGCGATCAAATGGGAAAAAGGCAACGAGGCTCGTTGTTAACGTGGGATGAGATACGTAAGATAGTTGGTTGCATGGTGTTTCTATAGCTGACCGATGTTGTAGCGAGTTGGTACCAGTATATTCATCATTAGATTACTTATCATCGACATCCGCTCACTGGGGTTAGAGACAATGAGTACATTCTGTCAGGCTATAGGTAATGATTCTGGGATGCTCGCTATATAGACGGTTTCTAACAAGGGCAACATATAGGGCGATCTCAAAGTCTTACAAGCAGTCCTTTAAAAGTATCCTCGGCATCCACAACGAAACCGGTAAGATTTTACGCAGTGCCTGCAGAAGCCGAACTGACTCCTCTCCAGTAAACATATTCTCGCATCTTATAGGATCAGCATTATTCTTTGCGCTTCCTATCCCCGTATACTATTCCCTGCAGCCAAGATACGACACAGCAACCACAGCGGACGTAGTTGTATTCTCAACGTTCTTCTTTGGAGTCGCTATATGCTTTGCACTGTCCGCAACGTAAGTCTTGTCACACCTTCATCCACTGACACCCAAGAAGTGACACACAAAACAGTTTCCACGTCGTCAACAACCACAGCGAAAGCGTTCACGTCTTCGGTAACCAGCTCGACTACGTAAGCAAACAACCCCCCACCACTCCACACAGCCACTGAGTACTTTAGCTCGGCATAGTGATACTAATGTGGGGTTCCACCATCCCATGCGTATACTACGGCTTCTACTGCACACCGCAACTACAAACAACATATTACACGCTCGTATCCGTCTTAGCAGGAGCCTGTGTCTACGCAACACTCCACCCAGCTTTCCGTCGCCCAAAATATCGACCCTACCGCGCGGCCATGTATGCCGGTCTCGGTCTCTCCTTCATCATTCCCATCGTGCACGGCTTGCTGAAATTTGGTTGGGAAACGCAGATGTGGAGGATGAGTTTGGACTGGATGGCGTTGATGACGACGTTTAATCTTACGGGTGGCGCGTTGTACGCTATGAGAGTAAGTTGGTTGAGCCCAAGAATCTTTTGCATCCATCTGAAAGAAAAGAGATGGGGGACTGACCACAACACGTAGATTCCGGAGAAATGGTATCCGTACCGGTTTGATGTCTGGGGTTCTAGTCACCAGATTATGCATTGCTTGGTTGTTTGTGCTGGTGTTGCGCATTTGTTTGGGCTGTTGAGGGCTTTTGATCATGTTCATGGGTATGGGGATGTTTGTGTGGCGTGATGAGGGAGTTGACGTTGTCCCCTGTTACTATTTCGGCACCAACGCCCTATTAGTAGCCATCTACAAGATGTGAGCACTGGAGATATTTTGTGAGCCACTGCTTTACTATAGTCCATCCTCTAGCTTGATAATCTGGTAGTCGCAGAAGTAGTAATAGGCGTGATACCAACGAATCGGTAGAGTCGAGATAGCTGAAATCATAGCAACGACCTCGGTATCGTTCATCCAGCCTATGGTATATCCTCCACACCGTTCCCATCGGGATTACCTTGCAGAAAAGTCTCCCCCTTTTCCTCTTCTCCATCCGCCGCTAACTCCTCAGTGCCATCTTGCTGATTCTCAACAACATTGTTCGCACTACCACCACCCTTACCATCCTCACCACCGTCAACCCCAACCCCAACCTCGTTACTTCCCTCCAATTCCTCTCCCTGCACAACCACGTTAGTAACCCTTAGCACACCCCTTCCACCACCATGCCCCTCCGGCACCCGGTAACTCCTCGGCAGCGTCCGACTACTCGACTGCGAAGTTATCGCACGAACGGGACGGATGAAACGCTCATTAACTTGGCGTTGTGTGCGGAAGTGTCGTTCAAGATTTTCGTGGGGGGAGAAGCTGGGTTGTGCGTGGCCCGACGAAGAGGTGGTTTCGGGACGTGAGAAACCAGCTGGTAGTTCATCCACGCATTCAGTCGGAGTAGTACTTGTGTCGACACCGTTCGGTGGTCCATGACCACCTGTATACTGAGCAGGCGTGCTAGCCACCTCCCCTTGATCCCGTTCAACCGCCATCATCAAATCCCGTATCTCCCTTGCTGCATCCTGTTGCAGAGGTAAATCTTCAAGTTGCGTTTGCCGCAATCGGTCGCTGAGACTTGAACCTGAGTGCTCTTGTCTTGGTCCTCTCTGCCCACTCTCCTCAACTCCTTCAACCTCTTCAACTTCTACATCTGACACAGCTACAGAAACAATTAAAGGCGTAGGAGTCACCACCCTAACACTCCCCGGCGCCCTCTGAATCATCTGCGAAAGCCCAACCGGCGGACCAATAACACTCTGCGTCCGGCTTTCTAGGTTTGGGACAAGAGAAGGTGGGTTGGGTTGCGTGCTGTCTTTTCGCCTCTTCGCTTTGGGTTTGGGGACGAGAACGGGGATTTCTGTGAAGTTGCTGATGTCTTTGGTGTCTTCGATGTGGTGGGTTTGCGGCGCAGATGGTTCGGCTAGGCGGAGGGCCATGAGGCGTTCTCGGAGTTTTGCTTCTTCTTCTCTTTTTTGGGTTCGATGTATCTTGTGGGAGAGGTAGGCTATGGTGTATTTCTTTGGGGTTGTGGGTACGGCGGGGGTGGTGGGTGTGTTTGTGTCGTTTGGTATGGGGATGGTGGTGGTGTGTAGTGGTGTGACGGTTCCGGGTCGACATGCAAAGGTGCTTAGGAGCCGGTTCATCATGTTCTTCCTCCCTGCGTTGGTTTCCCCAGAGGAAGTCCTCATGGCGAACTCCTCGTCTTCTTCCTGCTCCGCCATCCTTCTCTCTTCACCACTCAAAGCGTTCAAATACCGCCGCCTAACCTCATCCTCCCGTTCTCCGCCCTCACCTCCACCACCCTCATAACTCTCCCCTACAGACCCAAACACCCTCTCTGCATCATACTGCACAGGCGAAGACACCGTCCGTCTCCTGCCCCTCCCTTCACCCCTTCTCAAATTCCTCTCACTCTCAGTATGATACCCCTCAAGCCCATGCCAATACTCGCTCGTCTCTTGAGCACTCATACCGTGATAAGGATGATTAGGCGCATACGTATACCCCCCTTCTACACCATCACCATCGTTTCTGTAGCCATGATTCCCTTCTTGTCGTTGCTCAGTCCGATAACTCAGGCTCGACGCCGTCCCCTCCGCAGAAATCAAATGCTGACTCGCATTAAACGGACTAATAGGCGAAATCGTGCGATCACAAGGATATATCGGGAAGCGAGAGTGGGGTGTAGGCGGTGTTACGGCGCGGTAGTATGGGGAGGGGGATTGTGTGGGTCGGGGTGGTGGTGGTGCTTGTGGTTGAGGTTGAGGGGGCTGGGAGAAGGAGGTTGGTGAGGACGGTGCGTCTTCTGGGTAAGGGTTCGATGGTATCGATAGTCCGGGTGATGGAATCGATAGTCCCGGTGAGGAGTTTGGGTGTATGATTAGGTTGGGAGGGGAGGGGAAGGGCGGGGGAGGTGTGGTTCGCGCGGGTTGCCGGGTTAGAGGGAGGAGGAAGTCGTCTTCGGGGTAGGGGTTTGAGGGGAGGGAGATGGAGGATTCGTTTCCTTGGCTGGCGGGATAGGGTGGTTCTTCGTCTTCGCTTTCGGCGTCTTGGGTAGCAGTGTGGGGTGCTTCTTCGTCTTGCGCTTCTTCGTTCTGCGCTTCCTCGTCTTGCGCTTCTTCGTTCTGCGCTTCCTCGTCTTGCGCTTCCTCGTTCTGCGCTTCTTCATCTGCCCCTCCCCCATTCCACTCCTCAGCCCCCAGACCCCTTAGCATACTCTGCAACTCGCGGCCCTTCTTTCTCCCAACCTATACACCAGTCAGCATCAATCCATCCATCCATCCCTCAACCCCACCCTTCCCCTCCCTCCCGCACTCAAAGTAAATCACATACCGTAGCATACCTCCCCCCACCCTCATACATCCTCTTTACCTCATCCAACCCCCTCCTCCTCGCCGCCCCACTATTAATACTATGATACGGCTTATACATCTCCCCCTCTGCAACTCCATCCGATACTCTCTCTTCCGCAATCCGGTGCTCCGAACGCATCAACCGCTCTTCTTCCCGGTCCATATCTAACTCCCATTGCGCGTCCCACGACGCGTTGGTGATGTCCTCCCTGCTGCTTGAGTCGCGATCTCGGTGGCGGAGGGGTTCCATGCTATCAGATCTTCCATCCCCATCCTCGTCCTCACCACTACCATCCCCATCCCCATCCCCATCTCCCCCCTCCCACCCCACAGGACTCAGATCCCGTAAGTCCTCTTCTGACTTGTCCACGCCAGTATAATAAAGCCCCAGCGACGCAGAAAGTGCCGTACGAGCATTCTCTCCCTGGCGACCTACACTATCTCTGCGGCGGATGGGGTTTGTGAACTTGCCTTTGAGGGAGACGACAGTTACGTTTTGGCGGATGGTGGCGATGCGGTCGCGGAAGCGGGCGAGGTATGCGGCGGTTTGTTCGGGAGACATTGTGTACGTTCGCGCTGATTCATAGGCTGGATGGTGACAAGAAGAGTGTTGCACCCGCGGCCGCTGGGCTAGGACCTGAACCGACTCTCGAATTCTATTACAACTACTGTGTGCTGTGGGCACTCATACTGTGGAAGCGAGACACGAGGTTCGCACTGCTTGTGGTCTGGTCAGGTTGGTGAGTTGATGTTGTTGGGCTGTCAAACGTCAGTGGTTTTGACATCCTTACCCGTACATTGGACCCTTATAGCCATATAGCCATATAGATATCAGTCACATAAGGCACAAAAGCAATACGCACCGTCAACAATAGCAATATGGTTTATTAGGGTAATCCACGCCATCAACTACGCCTTCTCTCCTACACCCAGCAAGTTCAACAGTACCTCCTTCGCCTTGTCTGGCTCGACACTTCCGTCTGGAGCACGCATCACCATTTGTCCCACGAACCAGCCTACCTTCTTGACTTGACCCTTTTCGGTGATGTCGCGAACCATGTCGGGTTTCTCTTCTAGCAAAGTTTGTGCCAGTTTGACGTACGCTTCCTGGCTGAGTGGTTGCAGGAGAAGGTTCTCTTGGTGGATGACTTCAGATACGCTGCGCTCATCTCCCTCAAATTTGATGGCGAGTAGGCGTTTTGCGGAAGGCGACGTGACCTCTTTGCGACGAATGTGCGAGATGACACCGGCGAGATAGTCGGCTGGGACGCGGTTGGGGTCCCAAGGTTCGTCTTGGAAGAGAGAGCCGAGTTCCATCAACACCCTGGTCACGCGTTAGTTTGATTCCGACGCGTAGCGTAGCAGATGAACATACCAGTTCCCGGTGATCTTGCCCAAGGTTTCTAGCGGAACGTCTTTCTCGTGCTGCTCGGTTTGGCGCACCAGGCAGCGAATGACGTCTAGGTAATACTCCAATCGTTCACCATCGTCCATGGAGAGAAGTGTGATGGCGTCCTTGGTAGTAAGTCCGTAGGTGTTGGCGAGCATGTCCACATTCACATCGGGCAGCTTGGGAAGGGTCGTCCGGAGGTGTTCAACAAGATCCTGATAACCATTAGCACGGCTCCCAGAACAATTGCCACGTTCGTACTTACGTTTCCAATGATGACAGGAGCAATATCTGGGTCCGGCATGTAGCGATAGTCGATCTCGCCCTCTTTGCCTCTGAGACGTTTGGTAGTCTTGCTTCCAAGAGTCCACCCGCGAGTCTCGCCTTCAACGACACCTCCACCCTCAAGCAAGTCGATCTGTCGATCACGTTCCGCAATGATGGCGTCTTCCACAGCCTTGACGCTTGCCAAGTTCTTGATCTCAGTCCGCTGACCCAGACCAGTAACACCGTGGTATGAGTGACTATAGTTAGATGACTCCCCTGCCCGTTGACGAACTGATACGTTGACATCGGCACGCAGTCCGCCTAGCTCCATGCCGGTTGTACAGGCATTGACAGCCTTCAGTATGTTTTGTATCTTGCGAACGACGACAGCAGCTACCGTGGGATCGTGGATCTGAGGGAGGGTGATGATTTCGATTAGAGGATGCGAAACGCGATTGAAGTCGAGTAGGTGAGTCGAAGGGGGTTGCTGCACGGTCTTTGCGGTATCCTGCTCCATCTGTATCTGCTTGATGCCAATCTCGACGGGCCCTGGTTGCGGGGCAGCGCCAGGCGGGAAGTCATGAGGGTACAGGGTAATCTTGCCGTTCGTCGCGAAAGGCTCGTAGTACTGCGTGATCTGGTAGCCGGAGGGCTGATCTTGATAGAAGTAGTGCTTGCGGTCGAAGCTGCTCTTGGGCTGTATCTCGCACTGGAAGGCTATAGCGGCGCGGAGGGCAGGTAGGAGGGTTTCCTTCTGAAAGTGAGGCTGAGTTCCAGGAAAAGCGACGTCGAATAAGGAGACATGAGTATTGGGTGCCTCGCTGACTGAGGTCGCAGCACCAGAGAAAAGCTTCCGCGCGGTGTTGAGTTCAGCATGGACTTCGATTCCAACCGTTAGCTCCCACTTCTCTAGTCGCACATCTTTGCCCTTTTTGGAGGACTTTGAGGCGCCAGAAGAGGCGCTCTTCTCTTTCTTTTGTTGCTTCGCAGCATCTTTCAGCTGCTTTCGGAACGCCGTGCCATCCTGGGTCGGTGGTGGCTGCGTCTCAGTGTGGAGAGATCGTGCTGGGTGACGCGTGGGAAGATGGACAGCGCCCAATTGAGACTGTCTAGTCCGGCGCAGACATGAATGGCATATGTAGGGCTGTTTCGAGGCTATAGCAAGAGTGTTGCGGGTGGTGCGGGCGAACATGACGTGAAGTCTGGCGAGCAGCAGTTCTGGTGCCGATGCACAGTTGCGGGCGGTCTGTGCTCACTTCCGAGCCACCTTGGACCAGCGACACGCGACGCCAACCACCCAATACTTCAACGCCAGGAGATGAAGCCGGCGCCAACGCCAAAATCTCTCGCGTCGCTTGTTCCACTTGAAGACGTTCCGATGTCGCCCGAAAGGCCGTCGAACTCGACGAGCCTTACAAACATTATCTCGATGCCACCGCATTCACAACGAGCATCCGCTTTAAGTCGCCTTGTGGAGTAACCTCTGCAATTTCCTGATTGCCCACTCAACAAGGGCTTGTCTCTTTCCGGGTCGTCTCCGTTTCACGCTCTCAAGATCGATAAGACGAAGGTTGGCAGCAACTCCGCCTAGGTTCTCGGGCACTGACAGCGTTGGATCCGATTCGCATGAGCTTCCCACCGCGGCGTGTGTTTCTGGCGCCGCGCTCGACGTATTTTGGTGTACAGTAGTCGGCGCGTAGACGTGAACATAACAGGTAATGTTCTGATAAAAGGTGTGCTCACCCGCGTTAGGGCGAGGAATGTCGAAACTACCGACGTTTGCCATGCGAGTCGTTTCGATCGGCTCTCTTCCTGCGGACACGAGCCTTCAGTCTTCTGAAACTGTTGCGGCACCTCTGCCACGCTTCTTCGTCTTTCGGTCTGTCGGCGGCGTGTACGAAGTGCCCAGGATGGATGTACACTCCCGGCCAGCGAGAGAAGTCTGCCACTGATTGACGGCTTGTGTCTGTGTCGTGAGAGAATCGCACGCTCCGACTACTGCGGATACTGGCCCCCATCCGCGCAAATGATCGGTATGTCCTGGACTCGAGCTTGTGGAGCCGTATACAAGTCTTGACCGTTCAGAGGACGCCTCAAAACTTGCCTTTGATGATGTTCTCAGCAACAGCTTTGGCGCTGTTCAGGAACTTCTTTGTCTGTTCCTTTCTCTTTTCTTTCTTCTGCGCCCTCGCTTGTGTACGCTCTTCTCGTTGCTGTCGTTCTTCTGGTGTGCTAGTATCGGGTTGTGTCTTCGACTGCGACGAGGTGGAAGGACCGGCAGTGTCTGTCTGGGGTGCAGCGGCGAAGTCGGTGTACTTGTATTCTCGTTCAGTTGGATGAGGTTCTGTCTCGGCACAGTCTTTCCCCGAATCAGCACCACAGTCACCTCCAGTATCGCCTTTCGAATCGGCTCCGCGATCTCCAGATGTCGTTCCGCAATCGCCCGAGGATGTCGTCCCAGAGTCTGCGGCGACGAATGAAGACTCCATTCAAAGCCTTGATGTGTGTTTGGCGTCGCTCAAAGATGGAGCTTGAGTGTAAGAAGCGTGGCGGTCAGGCGGATCTTCTCCTTCAGCTTAGCCGCCTCGTGGCGCTTCGCTTTGACTGCAGTAGCGGTCTCGGCTCGGACTGCCCTCCTTTGTTGCTTCTTCTCTTTTTTTTCCGCTCGCTTACGCTCGTACTCCTCTTGATCTTCTTTGCGTTTGCGGTCGCGTTCCGCACGCTCCTCGGCTGTCAATGGTCGGCTGGACGAGGAGGATCCTTGTGGGATGTAATCGGTTCCTGAATCTCCGCCTGAGTAGCTGCCGCCGTCACCTCCGTCGCCTGCGGTATGGGATGTGCTGCAACCGCCGGAGTCGCCGCCGCCACAGTCGCCGGAGCTATAGCTTGCGCTACCACAATCACCGCCGTCTGCCATATACTGATCTTAAGTTCCGAGGTGAAGCTTGAGCCGGAGCAAGTTGACGTGGAGCCAAAATTTGGTCTTCTTGTTACCCGCGTGTGGGACCTTGGCCTTGGTGTCTGCTTTGGACTTGTCTCGAACTACCTTCCGCTGTCGCCTCTTTCGCGCACGCTTGATCTTTAGTCTATACCCTACCGTTCCGTTCTTGGAGGTGGGATTGCTACCGGAATAGCCAGATACGAAAATTGGCGTGCTCGATGCGTGATGTGTGCTGGTTCCGCAATGTGAGCTGGTTCCGCAATGTGTACTAGTTCCACAATCCCCGTGTGACATGTAAGGTGGGATATAGCAGTCCGGAACGAGAAACTGATGTCAAATCTAGAGATGAAACCGGAGCTTGAGCAAGGTGATGTACAGCCGAAGCTTAGCCTTCTTGCTAGTCGTGTCCGGGAGCTTGGCCTTGGTGTCTGCCTTTGCCTCGTCTCGAACCTCCTTCCTTTGTTGCTTCTTCTCTGCGCGCTCCTCTTTCTTCTTCTTCAGTTCTTCCTTCTCCCCGGCTGTGATATGGCGACTTGGTGTGCTTGCAGACGAGATAACACCAGGTGTGCTCGCGATTGCTGGCGCTGACGGTGCGCACGCTGTACTAACTCCACAACCTCCAGATGTGGCTGCACAGGTCATAAAAGGTCGGTCGTAGTCGTCTACCAAAGACGGAAGATGCCAAAGAAGTCGGCTATCTTAGCGCGAAGTCCCTTCTTCAACGTACGGTTCGCTAATCTCTCCGCTCTAGCTTCTCGGCGTCTGAGTTTGCGTAGTCGTCGCTCTTCGATGATCCTTCTCCTCTCGCGTGGTTCAAGTGGATTGGTGGCTCTCGGTCGGTGATTCGAAAGTGTTCGGCCTTGTCCCTGGACGGGGGCTTGGAGTACACCAGAGGCTACAGAGCTTGTTACACAAGTAGCAGTCGTGCTCATAAACACCCTCAAGACGTCAGAGAGAGTGTAGGCGTGTAGGTGCTCAGAAGTTTCCGTTGAAGATCCTCTTCAGCTTGAGGTGTATCCTGTCAATCTTGCTTGGCGTATTGATCCTTCCGTTACGGACCCAAGTTTTCCGCTGTGCTTTGCGGGATTGCGTCTTCTCGAACTTGCGGAGGCGTTGGCGGGCTACGTGTAGTCTCTCGGTGGAAGTGAGAGGCCGGCCGGTGAAGTGAGTTGTTCGGGGGTCGTGGCCCTGGTCGAAGATGGTGCGGCGTCTATGAGTGATTCTTGGGCAGTATGTGCGCGTGTGGCGTTTGGGTTGGGTTGGTTTGGACCGTCGGGTGTCAAAGGGCATGTACTCAGTGGGTGTGGTGCTGCATGGACTGCGGGTGTCGTTGAAGGCGCTGGTGAGGGTGATGTAGGTTACGAAGGACTGGAGGTCGTGCGTGGTAGGGGAGGTGTGCAGGTACTGCACAGGATGCAGCTATGCTGATGCTGAGCTGCGGGACAGCTTGGTTGAGGTGGTGAGTGTGATGCCGATCAAGAGTATGGTGGGTTGATAATAGGGATGTGCTATACAATAATGGGATGACAGCAAACAATGCTTCGGTATGGATGGGTGATCATGCAGTGAGGTGTGTTGGGGTGAGAGTGTGATGGAGGGAGTTTGTTTGGGTCTCGCGATAGATGTAGAAGCTGGCATCTGTCGTGACTACCTTGATCGTGAGGGTCTGTGTGTGCTATGGAAGGCATAAGTGGCACAAAACAGGACGGAGCCATCACTGCTCTCCGTGCATTAGGGAATGTGCGTTCCAACCTCAATTAACGTGCAACAACACTGATGCTCATTCGTGTTTGGTCAAGGCAGCGAAAGCATATCGAAGGGATTCTTATATACCTATATATCATATTGTATGAGTTCAGTCAAAGATTTACTGTCTGACCAAACAAACCAGATCCCGGCCGTGTACTGCATGAAACTCCACCCTACCGTCCCCCTGCCGTGGAAACTCGCAAGAACCGCATTCAAGGGAACACAAACTTCCGATCCCCCATCATCCCCCACAGTTCCTGAATAACAGCACGCTGATCCTCGCGCTTCGCATTGCGCACAGCAAAGTAAAGACGACCCTCAAGCTGTGGGTCCCAATCTCCAGGGTTCGCGCTCACAACAACGCCACCAGCCTCTTCCAGGATGCACCATCCAGCAGCGACGTCCCAAGAGTATACTCCTCCTTCCCAGAACGCGTCGAGCATGCCGTGAGCTACGTAGCAGAAGTCCAGTGCTGCGGATCCGTTTGAGCGCACTGATTTGCACATTGCGCCGCCTTCGATCTTGGAGGTGAGGAGAGCGTTGTGGATCGAGGTGCGCAGTGCCCAGTTTGGACCAGAGCGCTGGTTACCCCACTCAACGGCCATGAGACAAGAGTTAAGCGATGGCATCGGTTTAGGAATGGGGTGGATGGGTAGCTTAATCTTGCGGTTCGTGAAGGTCTTCGTCAGGTATGCGCCTTGGCCCTTGATCGCATGGTACATGTCTCCGCGGAAAGGGTTGAAGACGACGCCAACGACAGGCTTCTTGTCGAGTGTTAGAGCCAGTGAGATGGCGCAGTTAGGCACGCCGAGGGAGAAGTTCAGCGTTCCGTCGATGGGATCCACGATGAATGTCGGCGTGTCTGCGAGCTTAGTGCCATGCTTGAACGTCTCTTCGCCGAGGAAGGTGCATTCAGGGAAGGCCTCAGCGAGGCGTCTTTCGGCCATCGCTTCGATTTGCTTGTCGAATTTGGTGACTACGTCAGATGTGTTGTTCTTGTGGACAGTCGTGATGATGCAATCCTCGGCTGCGACCATGATCTTTCCTGCATCCTTCGCAATGTCAATCAGTACACTATGGACACTGTTGAGACAACTCCTGGTGACGTTGTGCTTGGATAGGACGGCATCGAAGTCGAAGGTGGCTGATGAGTCTGACGCAGAACTGGCCGGTACAACTGGTGTTGTTGACTCAATGGAGGACGTGGGGCTGGACGACTCCGATGAGTCTGTTTGTTGAGATGCCATTTTGGTAGATTTAGTGAGATTACTGAAGGAACGACTTGAGGAGTTTGTGAGTGATGAGTTGGAGTGAGACTGGAGGTTGCCGTTGAGCCTGGAAGAGCTTGAGAATTTTTGTTTTATGTGCTTTCCGGTTTGGGGGCGATTTCGCAGTGCTGTTGAATGAACGGTTGCCTCGTACGGTGAGTGTGCTTCTAGACGTTGTGTGTAATTACACAATCCGAGGCCCCGATAACTCGGTGTGAAAGTAGTCCACACCTTGAAATCTCTCGAGATTGTTGCCAGGTGAGGCGGCCTCACAGGTGGCATGATATCGTTTTGTTGAACGATAAACGGCCCTTGGTGACAAGGTACTAGACGTCGTAAGCCGGGGCCAATTGCGGACTCTTCTTATCTAGACACCTCAGGCAAGTCATTGCGGTAGGCAACTGGAGGCAACAACATCAGCATCGAAGATTGTGATAACAAATAGGCAAAAGATATATGCCTTCTATTATTTTCCCGGGTACGTCCGAGCTGAGAGGAGTCTAATATTACACTAGGTAAAGGGCTGGGAGTCGATCATGAGCACATCCGAGGCATGTGTCAACGGTTCCGTTCCGTTGCTCCTCAGAGCCCAGAGGAGCCCCGTGGCTTTCGTACTCACGTTATCGCGGCATCTCAGAATCGGAATGTCTTCGTCAGCTTCGTGCGCTGGGTTGGAGAGAATAGCCCCAGCGCTACTTGAGTGACGGGTGTGAGGCCAGAGAGCAGGCGAAGAGGAAAGCTCTAAGCTGACGCACGGGCCATGATTAGAACTCGCATGCTGCACCACGATGCTTCCGGCTATACTACAGTCAACATCTTCCCAAGTTACCAATGTGCCGGTCACTCGTAGGATTAAGAGCTAGTATTGGGGAATTTGACGACATGTGCATCGGACTTCGGTGAAGAAGGGCGGTAAATTCTCAATCAATCGCCTCGCGAAACGACGTCATACACCACCCAAACCTCCCGCCCGACATACACCCGTGGACATCTCAAACCTCACGATCAAGACCACGAAAAATCTCAAGATGCCACAACCCAAATCCCTCCCCAAGGACCGCTATACCCGCCAACGCGCCGCCCGCGCTACGCGTAGGCAGCTCGCCTCTTTGACACCATCGACCTCGCATCCCCAACAGCAATCTCTATTCTTCTCCATGCTCCCAGCAGAAATCCGATTCACCATCTATCAGCACGTTCTCAGCCAACAACATGATCACAGCCGTTCCATCGACATCCACTCAATATCACCCCTCTACCGACCGCGGCACACCTATCTCACCAAGATCGACACATCCTTATTACTCACATGCCGCCTCATCTACGTGGAAGCGCATCAGATACCATTAAGAAGTGCCACCCACCACTTCCGCTACCTAGGCTCCACATCCTGGCTCTACAACGGCGACATCTGGCTGCACCACACCACCTCCCAGCGCGGCGCCCAACTCTACCACCTCCACGACAACCTCGTCGCCCTGAAACCCTCCAATTTCACGAAATTCCTACTCAGCCATCTGCACTGGCGCAGGATAACATGGACGATATGCGCATACCTCCTGCCCCCCCTGCTCGCCGAACTACGCGAACGGCAGCGCCTCGTCTCCACACTAGCATCCCTCACCCTCCCATCCTCATGTCAAGAAGTGAATCTAGAATTCGAGACTCGAGAAGATTTGTTGCCGGATTGGCCGGGGCTGGAGAGCCAGATTGAGGCGTGTAGGGAGTTGGAACTGAAGAAGGGGGATGGGAGTGTGTTGGAGAGGGATGATGCGAGTGCGATTAGTTATACGTGGAGGGGCAGTGGGCATGCGAGGTGGGGGACGAGTGAGGATGGGGTGTGGAAGGAGAAGATGAGGTATTGTACTACGAGGCTTTGTTGGAGGGCGAGGGTGCCTAGGAGGGAGTATGCGAGTTATGATTTTTTGGATTGTTTGGGGGTGGAGGGGGATGGGGAGGGGGTTGTGGAGAGTGTGAGGAGGTTGGGTGGGTAGTGGGATTTAGGGGGAGGTGAGATGGGGTTCACGGCAGTGTTCACATTTGCATCATGATACGGGCTGTCTAAGTCTGGCTTGATTGATCCTCTTCCGCCAAGCGTCTGTTCCTTGAAACTAGACACATCGAGGACCCTTTGGCCCTTCATCCCCACTACGTTGCCAACTGCACAAGTACGCTCATCGCGCAGATGTGCGTCGTGCTTCGTGGTATCCCCCATCCACCACATTTGTCATACTTGACACTGCTGGAAATCCATTTAACGCTTGAACATAAACCAAAAGACAAAACCAAACAAAGAAACATGAAAGTGCAAAGTAGAAGTGACTCCACTAACCTTGGGAGTGTTTAAAGTACACGTGGGTACGTAGTTGTATATGCCTGAGCATTCCGTCGTGCCGTGTTGATGAAATCGTCTGCAACCACACAAGGGTCGCTCAACCCAAGACTCTCGGACCGTTCGACTTGCCCTTCTTCTGGACACCACGAGGTATGAACATGGCGGGAGATGCGACTACCGCGGGCGTGCTGTTGCTGCCATTTCCAGACTTGTCCTTGTTGTTTTTGTTGTTCCTGTTCTTCCCCTGCTTGTGTTTGTCGTCCTTCTTTACGACGGCCTTGACCTCAGATGTGGCTCGCTTGATGAGGACCGGGTGGCTGCCAATGTACTTGCCATTCATCTCCTTGGCGGCACGGAAGTAGTCGTCGGTGTCTGAGAAGCTCACGAAACCGTAACTTCTGCTCTTGGTGGACTTCTTGTCTCGTACGACGCGGGCTTTGGACAGAGACGGGTACTTGGCGAAAGCTTTGAGGAGTGAATCGTCGGTGACTTCACCCGCCAGGTTACCGATGAAGAGTCGCGGGTGCAAGGGGTTCCACTCGAGTAGTGTCTCGTCCTCCCACTGTTTTCCACCTCCCTCGCGAACAACAGTCTTGCGCTTGCCGTCGGCGGCTGGTCCTGCTTCAGTATCCTGGGTGGTTGCCGCTTCCGGTCGAGCGGTCATGTTCGCACCGGTGCCCTTCTTCGCGTTCGCGTCGCCAGCATTGTATGCGCTGTTCCACTCGGCGATGCGGGCTTCTTCTTCGGGATCATAGGTGCCACCAAATCCGCGGTTCACGGTCGGAGCAGCTGGGTATGAAGCCGCAGCAGGTGCGCCCGTCGCGTAGGCTGGGTACGAGTAGTTGTTGTAAGCATTGCTGGTCGGGTATGCGGGTGCTTGATAGGGGGCGCTCACTGGGGCTTGCGCGTAGTTTGCCGGCGCAGCAGACGCCGGTGTGAAGCCAGCAAACATGGGCGAGTTGCCCTGGCCTCGTGCGCCGGCGTTGTTGGTCCTTGAGGGCGGTGCCGAGTATGTCGTGGGTGGCGGGCGCGCTGGCAGGGAGTGATGGGGCTGCATGTTGGAGTAGGAACTGCGGGTCAGTTCAGCTTAACCTTAGCGAGGTGATGACTTAACCAGCTACTGGTCGAGACGCGCTCTGATGTTGCGGAGTGGGTAGACTGGTGATAGGACGGCCGGGTGGCTAAGGATGCGTAGTAATCTACGGTTCGCAGATTTTGAGGGTGCGCGCGGGTGTGGTTGCACCGATGAGGTGAGGCGCAGTTTCTGTATGGCTGGGGAAAATGCCTCTCAATGAAGCGCGTGCGTGTGAGTGAATAACCGCCCGGGCAGTGCCGTGCGCGTGAATGTCTGGAGCTGATGCTGACTACACGTCGAAGATGGCAGAAGGCAACAAGACTTTCCCGAAGCGTCTAGCAAGCGAGGCTGCAGCCTGCAGGTGGGCGAGGACTAGGTCGGCGTTTGAAGAGGGCAGAGTGGGATGGCGGGCCGGTGCAAATTACAATTACCGTGGGGATGCGTCAGGCAGATGGGGGCGTCGACGTCCGTTGTTGGTTTCTGTCGCAGAAAGTGAGCCAAGCGGCTCCTCCGGCCCCGAAATCACGTGTTGCCGGCATATCGGCAGCCGCTGCACACCACGCTGCATCGCAAGGCTCAACCTTGAACAGCCAGGAAAGAGCTGCAGCGCGATGCACAGGCGTCACCGGTGATGAGTTTTCTCTCATCGCGTCAGCCCTCACAGTCCATCCAGGTAGCCTTGGAAACATTGCAAGACTTCTCCGGCGACCTGTCCTAGCGTATCCGGTGATCCCTGCACGCTGCCCCTCCATCCGTACTGCGTAATGCTGTGTTAAGGCTGAGACGGAGGGGCTTCACAAGCAGCCGCATTTGACCGCGACGCCGTTGGGACTGTTGCTTGCGTCGCTAGTCTGCTAGGATGAAATTGATGTCAATAGTGAATTGTACACTGAGTCGTGATAGCCATAGCATCTGCAACCACATGCGCAACCCACCCGTGTCTAGCCCGCTCATTAGACGGCGGCTTTCTAATCATGCGCTGTGATGTTCAGCAATCATGTCGGCAGCGGTGCAAACGTTTTACAAGACGGAATTGGCAACAGTGGCTTGTATGACATACCTTACCGCCGCGGCCGAAGCTATTCTCCGTCAACAGCGTGATGCTGGGATATGGTGGTGGGACGTGCCATTGATGCAATAGTAGTGTGCCCCGCTTGTTCCAAAGACTTTCCGCGTACATATCTTGACGACCCCCACCAGACTTCTTCTTCCTTCTCTTGACCATCTCCCGCTTTATAAGCCTCAATTGCCCTCGTATTGCACGCCCGGTCGCTGCAATTCTACCCCGCCAACACTTTCTCATCCACCCACCTACACCCACACGAGAACGCAATCATGTCTTCTGAGCCCGTCGGAGATTTCGGCCTCATCGGCCTGGCCGTAAGTACTCTCTATACCGGACGCGTACAAGAGATGTGCAGCAGAAAGTGCGCGTCGTCGTGCCTTCCTGCCAGCCATTGAGTCCAAAGCGCGAATTATCCGGAGACATTCACCCCCAACGCATCAAGGCCAGCCATGCTGACCATACATATAGGTCATGGGCCAGAACTTGATCCTCAACGCGTAAGTCACAACCAACGTCATAACCTACCAATCAGTACTAACATCATCCAGTGCCGACCACGGCTTCACCGTTGTTGCTTTCAACCGAACGTAAGCGCCTCGATACACTGCGCCCAACATACACTGACAGGCAGATAGCGTTGCCAAGGTCGACCGTTTCTTGAACGATGAGGCCAAGGGCAAGTCCATTGTCGGCGCCCACTCCATCAAGGAGTTCGTCTCCAAGCTCAAGAAGCCCCGCCGCATGATGATGCTCGTCATGGCTGGTAAGCCCGTTGACGACTTCATCGAGCTCCTCCTCGAGGGAGGTGCCGAGGAGGGCGACATCATCATCGACGGTGGTAACTCCCACTACCCCGACACCAACCGCCGCACAAACTACCTCAAGTCCAAGGGTATCCGATTCGTCGGAACTGGTGTCTCTGGAGGAGAGGAGGGTGCCCGCTACGGTCCTTCCATCATGCCCGGTGGTAACGAGGAGGCCTGGCCATACATCAAGGTAGGAATGCGCGAAGAGATGAGCAGGACAAAACTAACAATAAACAGGATGTCCTCCAGTCCATCTCCGCAAAGTCCGACGGCGAGGCCTGCTGCCAATGGGTTGGTGACGAGGGTGCCGGTCACTACGTCAAGATGGTCCACAACGGTATTGAGTACGGTGACATGCAGTTGATCTGCGAGGTGAGACGAGACGATCCTACAGAAAGAAAGAGGTGACTGACAGAAACAGGCCTACGACATCATGAAGCGCGGTCTCGGCATGAGCAACAAGGAGATTGGCGACGTTTTCACACAATGGAACAAGGGCGTTCTCGACTCATTCCTGATCGAGATTACCCGTGACATCATGTACAAGAACGACGACGATGGTGTTGCCATTGTTGAGAAGATCATGGACTCTGCTGGTCAGAAGGGTACCGGAAAGTGGACCGCCATCAACGCGCTCGACCTCGGTATGCCCGTTACCCTGATCGGAGAGGCCGTCTTCGCCCGTTGCCTGAGTTCGCTCAAGCAGGAGCGTGGCCGTGCCGCCGGTCTTTTGGACGGCCCCACCCCCAGCTTCTCTGGCGACCGCCAGGCATTCATCGACAACCTCGAGCAGGCTCTTTACGCATCCAAGATCATCTCGTACGCCCAGGGATTCATGCTGATCCAGAACGCCGCCAAGGAGTACAAGTGGAAGCTGAACAAGCCCGAGATTGCCCTCATGTGGCGCGGTGGATGCATTATCCGCTCCGTCTTCTTGAAGGAGATCACCAAGGCTTACCGCCAGAACCCCGAGCTCGAGAACTTGCTGTTCGACGACTTCTTCAGCAAGGCTATCCACAAGGCCCAGTCCGGATGGAGAGACACCGTTTCCAAGGGTGCTCTCTGGGGTATCCCCACCCCTGCTTTCAGCACCGCCCTCAGCTTCTACGACGGATACCGCGCCAAGGACCTGCCCGCCAACCTGTTGCAGGCGCAGCGTGACTACTTCGGTGCCCACACCTTCAGGATCAAGCCCGAGTTCGCCAACGAGACCTACAAGGAGGGCCAGGACATCCACGTCAACTGGACCGGAAGGGGTGGTAACATCTCTGCTTCTGTAAGTTTGACGCACATTGATCATTTAGACGACACTAACAACTTGCCAGACCTACAACGCTTAAAAAGGGGATATCCATTGCTTGTTAGACGGGAGCAGAGGGCTGCCCCGAGTTCATGTTTTATGAAGAACGTGAAAACTGAGATACCTCGAATCTAGAATGAATATAACGATTCGCATGTCCAATGTTTGCACGTGCCGGTGAATGTATGAAGCTCAGCTTGACCGCTGTGTTGTTACTCGTACGCTAGCTGCAGTTAGCGTTGATCGTCGCGTACCTCCAGGTAGACCCTTGACGAGGCACCCCACTATGAATTGAACATTGTTACGAGGTCGCACGCGCATCGGCTTCCCAGCAGTCAGGATACACTCGGGACGGAAGCGTCTCCAAGGCCTACACCACATACCTTCTATAATTGGCCCAGCGGCAAGCGCCCTGCGTAAAGGCTTGGCATCGCGACCACGGAAAGTTGCAGCGCATCACGACAACATCAACCCACCCGCCTCGCGCTCCGCCAGCTCCGCCACGCCAGCGCTGCCCCACGACCCGGTTGCGCGTGCGTCGTCGCGTTTTCATTTCTTTCATTCCTTTGGATTGTATATTCACTGCTTGTATGAGTCTCTGGCGTTAGGTCCTCCGTCGTAGAATCTGGGCAGGGACTAGGTGCTGACGAGACCCAATTGTAGCGGAGCAACACGTTAGCCTCCGCCGCCCGTAATACCCAAGTCGCCTAGACAGAGGCACACAAGAGCAGGATCGTCATGGCGGACAACAAGCGCAATAGCGTTGCGGGCAAGGTTGCGACTCCGAACCTAAAAGCCGGCCCTGGATCGAACAAAGATGTCATTGGCGCGGGTTCCGATCTGTACAAGGCTGTTGGGTCACGGTACGTTCCGCTCGTCGAAGTGGTATCACCGCTGGGATGGTAGCTGACAGTTTGCAGCATCAAAGTCACATGTGCCCCTGGCAAGAACGTCCTCGAGGGCACCCTCTTCACGGCCTGCAACCTCACACACGCCATAGCCATCAACACCGCGCCCGCTCCACCGAACCCCTCCCCCGCCTCCTTATTCAGCCAGCCCGGCGACTACCACATCATCCCATTCGCACACATTGAGTCCTTCGAGATCATCGGCACAGGAGAGCGCGTAGCAGAGTCCGCAGCGGGTTTCGATGGCGCACTCCCCAGCATCTCCAAGGTGGATCTGGCGGCGCTACAAGCCCGCGAAGACCAGACTATCCGCGAGATGAAGAAGAAGGATATGCAGAAGGGCAAGGGTGTTAGTGCCGAAGCACAGGAATTGTTCGATGCTATATCGAGGACGTGAGTCATATCAGATCTGGCAGAGACAGGATAACAGGGCTAACATACGAACCACAGTCTACCAACTCGGTGGGCAGATACGCAGATCGTCGTCAACGACTCCGTCCTCATCCAGGCCCCGTACACGCTCGACAGCATCAAAGCGCCCGCCGACAAGCACCAGGCTAAGGCTCACGTTCGCAAGGTCGTCGAAGCCTTCTACCAGCGTAAGAAGGGTGCGTCTGCGGGAGGAGCGGCTCGCGCTCCGGTCGCTGTGCCCAATGCCCCTAGGAAGGGAGGTTAGAACTCGGCCAGCCCAGGGCTTTGGCGACGGACAACTTGATGTAAGCCTTATCCGCAGAGGCCATGTCGCTGGCTGGAGGGTTTGGTCTCGTTGGTGATGTGAGGTATGAATCACGGAAGAATTATGTAATGATGGTAGCAGTCATGCATTCTGTGGGAGGGTGCTGGAAGGTAAACATGCTATTCCGTATGGCATAGTAGGCATTTCAGAAATTCACAAAATGTTCAAAAGCCACGGCGAGACGAGCTGTGTGATGTAAGTGCAAAACACTCATAGGACCATATCAATGTTTTTGGGTTACGTGAAGAACACAACAGCTCAGCTCAAGGCGTACGACAGGATCCCGAGAGACGCGCGAAGACGGGAATGAGCATAATGACGACTATCCGGTGTGCTGTTTGTCATTCTTCAACAAGGCATGTCCCGCGCAATACGTTCTGGCTTTCAGTGTTAGCAAGCTGCAGCTGAAAGCCTTCATCATTCTGGTGGCAATTGGGACGCTCTACTTATACCTCGTCGCTAGGCTGCAACGACAGTCCCGCTCATGCGCACCCATCCGATTTGCCAGTCTCGCAATCCCTGAAATGGATCCATTAAGCATTGCGACGAATGTGGTAAGTTCTCTACGCCGGGACCTTAGTCAGAGCCGTATTGCTAAGCTAACAACTCTTCTAGCTCCGGATCATTACGACTTTCCTCGGAGCTGCCAAAGGCCTGAACGACATACGGAACAAATGGAAGCACGCGCCCGTTACCGTGCGATTCCTCTGTTCCCAGCTCAAACTCAATGGGACCTTACTTTCGCGGCTGCAGGCACTACTTCTTGACGAAACGAATGCTGTGCACGCGGACCCAGACTTGGTCGATACGCTCGATACGACTCTGAGAAGCTCTCTCGTGCTGGGGGTATGTCTCGGGAAGTACGTGTCGAAGATCATGAAGGGCGTCCACGGTGATGGTAGCATGAGCTCGAAAGCCAAATTTTGGACTCTGTGGAATGAGGATGAAGCCAAGGACTTATTGGAACGACTGCATCAAAACCATACTGCGATCAACATGTTGATCGGCCCGCTGAACAGGTGAGTGAAGACAAAGTCTCCGTATAGCGTACAGCTACAGCCATGAATGGCCGACTGAACTTAGCAGGGATTCTTCGACCGAGAGAAAGAAACCCCTTCAGAAAAAAGAACAAAGCAAGACGATGACAACAATGAACGAACACACCCAACAGATGCGAAAGGCCTATGCCCTCACAGTGGCGGAGTCTACATTCAAAATCGAAGATTCCCCCGATAGTCTCTTGAGCAATCACTCCACCCTTGTCGATCCTACTAACGGCTCTTCTGAACAACACTTCGAATCTGTCCTCTCGAACTCCAGAGTATACAAAAAAGCTTCCAACGCAGCTATGAGACAGCGGCCGAATACCGATTTCGACAATGCAAGCATGAGGACTAATCATTCTACAACCGCAACGATTGGCGACCCGGACTTCATTACCGACCCGGCAAACACGGAAGAAGACACAGCTACTACAAGGCCTATAATTGTTCATATCTGTGATCCTGTTCATAGGGCGAGCAGAAATCTCAACGTTGCAGGCGTAACGGGTATTTGTACCGAAAGCTATCCTACCCAAGAGCCCGGGAAGTTGAGTTATAAGCCCCACGACCGGATACAGAATCTACGGAAGGTAGATGCGGCGTGGTGGTACGGCACTACTGAACCTCCAGAAAATGTGCCTGAAAACCGTGGGATAATTCTTCGTCGAGACTTCTACCCTATTTACAGGCTTAACGAATGGAAACCTGCACACACTGGCAGAAGCATGGGCACCGAAGCTGTCGGCGAGTGTTGGTTGCGCTATGAGGAGGGAGATCGAGTGGAATTCGATGTAAGTGACGTGAAAACCCATATCCATCACATTGTGCTAACCAATCCAGCGAGTGTACCATAACTTCATATGGGTCGTCAGAGTATGTCGGAACTCGGACCATCACGCTGGGTCAAACGACATAGACTCACGGTGTCAGAACGCGTCAACAGAGGGACAAATGCTAGTCGATACCATCGTGCTGAGTGACGAGATCCGCGAACAGGTCGATACTCTGTTAGCACATTGTGCTTGTCCTCTTACGCGTCTCGTTGGCTTAGAAGGACGTGAACGGTGCCAAGAGATTATAAAGATGGTAAATGAAGACGGTTGGCCAGCATCTGAGCAGAAGATTATAGCGGATTGCAAGAGCTTTAGCGAACTACAAGAAGCGGCAGAGTTATATAGGATGTGTGGATAATAGGGCTGGGACCTACAATGAGTCACAGGTGTGTTTACAGACACGGCAAAAAGGTAGATGAAGCATACATGGCAGGATACGGGTTCAATTCGCAGGGTGAAAAGTACGCGAAGCCCATCACGCTGCCTCATACTAATATACAAATCGCCTCAACACATGCCCGTAGTCCCCAAACCCTCCCCCAAAATCACCACTCAACCCCTCCACCCAAGCGCATCCTTCTCCAGCACCGCATGCCTCATCCGAAGCAAGTCCACCCGGCTGGTGTACGTCAGGCGCCCCTCTTTCTTCCACCTCGCGTTGTACGGGATCTGGTACGTATCCAGTACATCCACGAATGCACCAGCCCTGGGCTCATACGCCCCCGCCGTCCGATCCACCTCCAGATTCATCTTTTCGGGCCCCATGCCCCATCCGTAAGAGACATTGTCGAAGCCGCGGAAAGTGGCTCCAACGACGTACGTGCTGCGCGCACGGAGCGAAGGCTGCTTGTGGCGGAGGCCATTGCCGTTGCCGCTCGAGATGACGGCGCCGATCATGCAGTCGTCCATCTTCTTGACGATGATGAATGGATAGACCTTGATGCAGATCTGGCCGTACTGCGACGGGACGAACCAGTCGCGCGAGGTGGCTGCCATGCGGGGGAGTGGCGCCCATCCGATGTCGCCTACGCTGATGGCGTTGATGGCGGTGGGGTCGAGGCGCTGGGGGCGCTCGGGCCCGTGTGGTGGTGGTGGTGAAGGCGAATCTTTGTCGACCTCCATCTCGTCCTCCTCCATCTCTCCCTCCTCCATCTCCTCCTCCCCCTCCCCCTCATCCATCCCCTCATCCATCCCCTCATCCATCCCCTTCCCCAAAACCTCCTCATCCCATCTCGCCAAAAACGCTTCAAATCGCTGCACGCAAAGCAACAACTCACCGGAAATCGTCTCGAACTCCTTGAGCTCGTCTTCTTGTAGTGCCCGAAGGCGGTTCTGATGTGCCTCTATGGCGAGGACTTCTATGGCGATGTCGCGCCCGAGGTTGATGGTGGTGAGGGAGGGCATGGCGGGCCATGCCGGCGACGTTGCCGTGAAGGCGAGGAGTGTGGTGGTGGTGTGGGTGGTCATGGTGACTATGTGGTTAGCGAGGGGAAGGGAGGGGAGGGGTTGGGGGGGATGTATGCGGTAGGGAGGACTATAAGAGACGGGAATTGAGGTGCTGGGGGTAATGTAGGCGGTAGAGGGCAGGATGCCACAAGGGCAGTGAGATGCTGGGGGTGATGTAGACGGTAGGGAGCAGGATGCGGAAAGGGAAGTAAGCTGCCGGCACCCATGTAGTCCGCAAATCCATGAATGCCGTAATAAAAAGAAAGGATACTTACGGGTGTAGTCAGTGTGTGTTGCTGAAGAATCTCAAAAACCAGCGGCATGAAAAACTTTTGTTATGGGCGTCGTGGGTGCAAACGCTCGCTGCTGTCTTGGCGGTGAAAAGTGCGGCTCACTGCTCACGTTCACCGCGAGTTCAGCAGAGAGAGAGGAGCGAGAAGCTGGATGTGAGAGCGGAAGTGAGCGTGATGGCGACATCGGAGTTGGGATTCGTATGGGATATGCAAGGAATGAGGTTGACGGCTATGTGGGAGATGGGATTTGTACGTAGTGAGGGCAGTGCGTGATGTAGGCGTATTGTGGCATTAAGGCGCGATGAATACTAGTGGCATGACATTAATGTAGGCATAGTATGGCATTAAAAAGTTGGAGATATCTGCTACAGAACTTGATGTCGTATGCATGACTCTCTGGTTCTGTATACTACAGCAGCATACAGAAGAACGAAGTCTCCGTGTGCACAAGCTTTTCAAACCACAGATATATACTGCCCTTTCACTTTCACCGCCCTTTTCCGCTTGACCTAGCAGCGAGCTCAGCATACTGGACAGGATTGTAATGTCCGAATGGGAATGTCTGAAGATGGAGAGATGGCCACTGTTGTCACTATGTCTGTAACCGATGTCGAGCCAAACTACATATATAATAGCCTCTCATCTCACGGTTATGATTCAGACAAACGCTCACTTCCACTCCACTCCCCAAGTAACCTCCCCCTTCCTAAACGGCACGACCTCACACTCGCCCCCACCCTCCTTCCTCAGCACATCCACCACCGTCTCCTTCCCCTTCTTCAACAAAATCCTCTCCTTCTTCTCATCCACAATCTGATAAAACCCCCTCCCCCACCCCCCAAAGAACCCCTCCAGCACCTCCTTCGTCACCTCCTCCTCCCCAATAACCCCCCTCTTCACCCCCACCTCCAACGCATCAAGCACATACGCCACCGCATACGGCTGCGTAAAAACGCCCGCCGCAACCTTATCCTCCCCCCTCTTCTTCCCCCTCGGATGCGGCGCAGAATCCGTTCCAAGAAAAAACTTCCCATTCCCCTGCACCACCGCGCGCAGCAACGCATCCCTATCCTCAGGCGTCTTCGCAACAGGCTTGCAGAAACAAAACGGGTCGCCTGCCCAATCATCGATGATCAGACTGAGGTGGTGCGCGGTGATTGTGCCGCTGACGGAGGGGCCGCAGGAGCGGACGGCGGAGAGGGCGGCGGATGTGCTGCAGTGCTCGAGGATTATGCGGAGAGAGGGGAATTTGGCGTGGAGGAGCAGGAAGGTGGGGAGGAAGGCGGGTTCGGCGTTGAGGATGGTTATGGCGCCTGTTTTTGTGTCTTTGGTGGTGGTGAGGTGGGCGGAGGAGGGGGTGGACGGGACTTCGCCGTGGAGGTTGAGGACCATGTTTTGTTTTTCCATTTCGGCGAAGACGGGGTAGAAGGGTTCGTAGGAGAGGACGCCTGAGGAGGAGTTCTGTGGGGTGGTTAGCACGGCTGTCACATGAATTGCCAATGTCTTCCTCTTTTATCCTCTTTTCTTTTGGCATATCTTTGGAGGGAAGTGTCTGGATCCTTACGCACCGTAGTAACTCCAGCAGGATACGACTTCACACCCGTAATCCCCGCTTTCTTCGCCTCACGAATAACCTCCGGCGTGATATCCTCGTGAAGATACAACGACATGACGTAATCCACATTCGGCTCAATAGCACGAAGTCTGTCGCGGTACTCGAGACATTGCTTCACGGAAGTGATAGGCGGGACCAGGTTCGGCTGTAAATAGTGATATAATGGGTTAGAGAAACGTGACCAAGATGTTGCGAGACGAGCAAATCGGCAACAACACATGAACAGAAAGGGAGGACGAAGAGGAGCAAGATGGACGATGGTAGCGAAAATGAAATGACCGAATTCTTGGATGAGAAACGAAGCCAACCAAACTTACCATAACATACACCTGATTCACACCACCCTTACGAATCGTAGGCGTAACAAGCTGCGACATCTCGCCATCGCGAAGATGGACATGAGCGTCATATGCCGCTGGCAGCTCGATTTCCGTCAGTTCGGTAAACTTCATCTCTGGTTTTTGGCGACTATGAAATCGCGGAGTTGGTCGTTTCGTTGTTGTTACCCCAAAAAAGTTGTCCCGCATTTTTTGGCGAGATCGGCAGCGGGCGCAAATAGAGCCGCACTAGGCCGGATGTGGGAGGAAAGCCTCACCTGTTATAGGTGGATTCCAAGGTTCGGACATGCCAAAGTTGGGGAGTATTACATTCTAATTATCTTGATTGAAGCTACAGAGAAACAAATCAAGGCTGTAATACATTGATTCGGCACCAGAATATTGGGTATCCGCAACGCATGGTCCTGGTCCAACTACTTGGCCCACCTCAAGAAAGACCCGCCATCGCCAAAGCCATCACTCAACTCTTCCATCAAGAAGTCAGACCTGCTAATCAGCATCCACAAACTGTTCCTCAAACACCACCCCTCTTGTCTCAACCTCAACCCTCTTATTCCAATTCTTCGGCACATACTCCACCGACAATCCTGAATGGCGAGTATAACGAGTCTTACTCGAGCTCGTCGAACTCACACTGCCGCTTCGATGCGAGAACACAGACTTCCTCCTACGAGGTTGTGTTTCAAGTTTGATCCCGTCTTGTGCCGATGGCGGTGCGCTGACTCGGGGTTGTTTCCTGGGTCGCTCTCTTGGTGAGCGGCTCTGGCTTTCTGGGGCGAAAGGGTCTTCGTCCTCTTCTCGACTGCGTTTCACGGGGGTTGTTGCGGAAGTCGGGGTAGAGGAAGGAGTTGACATGCTCGACAAGGAGAGTCGACCGACGCCAGCGGCGAGAGATTTGGAAAGTCGGGAGAAGAAGCCGGTGGTCTGGGGAACCGAGGCGTTAGGCTGTGATATAGGTGGAGTCTGTGCAGTTTCGCTAGTTGCGCCATTAGGCACGCTCGCATTCCTTCTAGATGGACCTAAAGTACTGTTCACAGTCGAAGTAGCGCCATCGGTTTGCCGTCGTCCAGGTATCATCACCACTGGTCCTGAACTCCTGCGGCGATGTTCCTTCTGAGACGGCGACATATCCTGTGCTTTAGACTGAGGTCTGGGCTTCTTAATGCTCTTCTTGGTTTGTGACGTTTCAGCGTCGCTGGTTGCGTCCACCACCTCAGCGGAGTTCTGTGTCGTTCCGTTCGCAGTAAACCCTAACTCGTTCTTCTGAACGGCCTGTAGTAGAGAAAGACCCATGGCAAAAGCAACCTTACGGTCCACGCCATTGCCAACGATTTTGTACTGCTCCGGAAGTGAACCAATGATGGGCTCCTCATCCATGTAGCCCTGGGTCCGGCGCGCTTCCAACACACTGATAGATCGATGTTGATCCCAATGCAATGTAGCGCCGTTCCGGGAATCGCGGATGACTATATTTGTCGTGATAGTCGGTACCAGCCCCGCTGCTTTGATCCGTCGGTACGCCTTTCCAATGTCGGTCCTCGGGTCTCGTAGCGAGGTGGGAATCAGACCCCGTCTATCTGCTTCTTTGTAGTCGCAACCCGGAGGTTGTCGTGGAATGCATCTGACCAGAGCTCGTTGCTTACGCGTTGGTACTTGCGGTAAGCGGTGGTCTGGGAACGGAATACAAGTCTGGACAATACCGTTGCCAATGTCGGGCAATCCCGCATCGACAGACACCGCTGGTACATACGGAAAAGGCGTTGGGTAGTGCTCGCGTTCACCGAATTTCTGTCCGTTGGGTAAATAACCTAAGCTTCGTCCCGCCGTCTCCTCGTAAGGCCGCGCGTGGGTGTGCCAGGGTTGGGCTATTGGCTCAAGTCCGGGTGCAGCTATGGTGAGGATCAGGCGTGAACGCTGTTGCGCGCTGCCGTAACTCCAAGCGTCCATGATGTACTGATTACATTGGTATCCCATCGAGACTAGAGAAGCAACCACCTGAGATAACACGTTCTGATCTTCGAATCCAGTCCGTGTTGAAGCCATGTTGACGACGTTTTCGAGTATACCGTACAAAGGGCGGTATAGATCTACATACGAGCAGAATGTGCTAATATGTGACGCATTCTTCAAGGACTGCGGACTGAGAATATTATGCTGAAGAGCTGAGAACCCAGGACATGGCGATCCAGCAGCAAGGAAGTCGACTTCTCCGACCCGAGGGACAAGGTCAGGTTTATTACCCTTGAGAGCTGCGTCAAAGTGATCATCGACGGAGCCACAGAACAGATGCATCGTCTCCGGGCTCTTCGAGTTAGCTCGCTGAGTGTGGATGGCATGGGGACTGAAGTCAACAGCGGAGTGGAAGGTAACTGCTCCACCCTCTTCAAGGCCTCGATCAAGCGAGCCACCGCCACTGAAGATACTCATTCCTCTCAATGATTTAGCAGAAGACATGTCAGGGCCCTCATTGAAAGTCTTCGGAAGATTTCGCAGGAATATGAGTTTCTGTTCGCCTTCCGCGCCAGTCAATCCCATAGACAGAAACCAGAGATCACCAGCACCACCACGATTGTACGTGAAAGGTATCTGTCCATCCTGGATGTCAGACTTACTGATGAACTTGACATAACAACGTCTCTGGATGCGGGATGCGGACACATCTTCGTATTCGTCGGCAAGGACCAGCTCATTTGCCAAAAGATTCATGCGCCGAGCTTTGGTTGCTAGTTCTCTGCAGTCGCGTTCCAGTCGTAATAGCCTTCGTACTCTAACAATCCCCTTGGCGCGGTCGATGTGTTGGAAAACGACTGGATCCAGAAACTTGTCACCGTTGCGAGTCCTTGCTAGATATACTGTATCGCCTCGACAGTAATCATCGACATGTGTGTTCTTGTCTTTTCGACAAGTGCAAGTCTTGTGTGAAGATCGGAGGCTGACAAAGGCGCTGTCTTGGGTGACGTAGGTTTGACGGACGAAGAAGC